GCCCTTGGATGATATTGCTGATCTGGGGTGGCAAGCTGGTCGTCGTGATGTGGCCCGGGCTGGTCAGGGACTGCATGTTGGCCCCGCTGGCCACGGGGCTCTGAGGGCCCAGGTGGTGGATGGTGCCCCCAGACTGCGAGTGGGGCTGCGACAGCCGGCGCTCCCTCACCGTGGCCGGCGCCCCCGAGGATGGAAGCTGCACCTGCGCAGCGGCTCCTTGGGCAATCTGCGCGATTCCCGGCCCCTCCTGGTACACGAAGTGTCCCCCGTTGGAAGGGCTCAGGCTGATCTGTCTGACGAGCACGCTGGCATCCACAAAGCCCCTGGTGGGGCTCTGGCTGCACATGCCCAGGCCGGGGCCCGGCGTGCCGGCCCGGACGTTGGGCAGCGTCTGCACCGGCACAGGGTTGGGCTGGGTGGGGCTCTGGGACTGCACCTGCTGGGGCAGTGGGGACGTGACCTGGATGTAGGAGGGGGATCCATGCTCGAACCGCCTCTGCTGGGGGCTGAACTGGAAGCTCGGGGACGTGGGGTTGGGCAGCGGCAGTGGGGTCAGGGTTATCTGCTGGTTCCCCGAGGCCACGGGGCCCACGTTCTGCAGAGTGATGTTCACGTTCTGCCCCGCCACCGGGCTCCGGCTCATGATGAACTGCTGGATTTGGTAGCTGGGGGACTGGGGGGCAGATGGACTCGCAGAGGGCGCAAAGGAAGCTGCGGGGGACTGGGGGAGATTTGCCTGCTGGTCTTCTCCCTCACTGCCTGTGAAGGACCTGGACCTCTGGAGCTGGCGCTGGGCATTCTGAGGACCATTACCATGGTGCATTCTCACTGATCTAGAGTTTTACAGCACGCTCTAAAGAAACACACAAAAACAGACATTCAGGGAAGGTAAAAACACTTCTGCAGCTGAAACTATTTAGTTACCCTTAGAAAGCCTACCTTGTAGCAAGAACTCACTTATTGTGGTTTGGTAGTTACTTAAAATGTTTCAAATAATTCAAAACCCTCAGCACAGCTAAAGCTCACTTAAATCCCTCATACATTTCTCTAGTTAACAAAGTGCTATTGAATAGTTATGATATAGAATATAACATACATCATAACTATGGAATATCATAATTAAACAATAATATGTTCCCCTTAGCCAGTTAGAATGACTCCAAATAAATAATAAAAACCCAAACAAGACTTTTTCCCTTCCTGTGGAACTTCAAGAGTCAAGTCTGCAATATCAAATACATCCACTCTTCTTTTTTAGCTTATTATTCCCAATGTTTCAGTGCTTTTAACTCTTAATAGAAAGTTCCTGTAAACATAATGGCTCACAACCTATAGTCCATTCCTTCAACAAAAACTAAAAATTTAAAAATGGACCAAGTATTCAACTTAAAAAAATTGCATCATGAAAAAAGTCCCTACCAAATCATCTCCATGCATGAAAAAGTACCCCACTTAATGCTTAACTCTGCCTTTTCTTTCCCTCAGAAGACTTCAGAGACTAAAACTGCACTGAAAATGCTGTTTATTGAGTCAAGCTAGCCAAAAACGTTCGGGCTTCCTATTTCAATCACAGACAAACAAAAATCCCACTGACAAGCACAGACAGGTAGATAGATTCAGGCTGGGAGTCACACGGCAGAAAAATGAAACCTGATAGTTTTTATTTTGTTTTCTATAAAATCGAAGTCTCTCTCGCATTTTGAAAGCGACAGTTTCGCTTTTGGTATTCCAGCACAAACACACGCGCAGCGCCGACACCAAACAATTAAGATTCAAACGATACCAACCTATAGCCACCAACAAGATCCCATTATTCTAATCACTCGCGCCTCGCCAACACTCACGGCTCCAGCGAAAGCACCCAATTAATTAGAGGCCGACCAGGGCAGGTCCCGGAGCGGGGGGAATCGCCTTTTGTGTGTGCGCGGAGCGGAGCGGGGCCGCCTGGGCCCCGCGGGGGAGCACCGGCCCCGCCGCCGCCGCCCGGCCCTGCCCGCGCCCCCCTTGGAGCCGCCCCCCCCCGCGGCTCGGCGGGCGGTGGGGAGGCTTTGGGGGAGCTGAGGGGAGGCTGAGGGGGCCGCACTCACCGCCGTCCCCGCTCTCCCCGCGGGCCCCGGGCAGGACGGGCGGGCGGGGCCGCCGCCACCACCAGCGCCGCCGCCGCCGCCGCCACACGGAGCGGACCCGCCGCGCCTGCGCACGGCCCCGCGCGCCTGCGCCGCCCGCCGCGCCTGCGCGCCAAGGCAAGCAGGGCGTGAGGGAGGGCTCCTGCTCCCCCCCACTCCCTCCCCCCCCGGGTATGTCGCGATAGGAACGAGAGGCGGCGACAGGACGGAAAAAAACCCCGCGTTTATTGACAGTAACTTCTGTGCGGGCAGGGCTGTCCTTCAGGGTTTGGTGTAAATCAAACACAACGCTTGCGAGCTCCAGAGAAGGGCGGCGGGGCTGGTGAGGGGCTGGAGCGCAGGTCCTGTGAGGGGCGGCTGAGGGGGCTCAACCTGGAGAGGAGGAGGCTCAGGGGAGACCTCGCTCTCTACAACTCCCTGACAGGAGAGGGGAGAGAAGTGGGGGTCGGGCTCTGCTCCCAGGGAATCAGGGACGAGAGGGCACAGTCTGTGCCAGGGGAGGGTTAGGCTGGACATCAGGAAGAAGTTCTTCACAGAGAGAGTGATCAGACATTGGAATGGACTGCCCAGGGAGGTGGTGGAGTCACCGTCCCTGGGCTCTGGAGGTGTTTAGGAAGAGACTGGATGTGGCACTCAGTGCCATGGTCCGGTGGACAAGGTGGTGTTGGGTCAGAGGTTGGACTCAGTGATTCTGTGAGCTCACAGGACTTCCCCTCGCTCAGGACAACAGAGACCTGTGTTTGCCCCTGTGGTTATCGCTGGGTTTGGATTTGCTCCACTGTTTGTTCCTCTTCTTGCTGCTGGCCAGGTTGTTGCTCCTGCATGGGAGAAGCTTTTTGTTCTTCACTCAAGGCCTATGACAACAGAAAGAGGTGGAAGGAGGGATCACAGCAAGAGGCCTCTTATTAACTGTTTTAATTCTGAGTAGATGAACCTCACAATTGTTACTGTGAATTCGTGTAAAGATTTATCCTTCCTAGTTGTCTCTAAACCAATAATTGCAATCAAAATTCTGACTTGACCAAAAAAAAAAAAAAATTATATATATATCAGGGTTGGCTGCTTCTGACATTGCTGAAATGCCCCAAAAATGAGACAACTGCAGCAGAAGTATAATGGAGCATGTCTGGAACAGAGGGCTGAGGCAATGAAAGGGGATTAGGCGGCCAAAACCCACACAGAACAGTTTTCAGTCTTCCAAATACCCTTGTTATATTTTTCCTTATTAACAGGCTTTGCAATTGTTTTTACAGGGGAAAGCAATTGAAAAGATTTGGAAATTAAAAGACTTGAAAAGGTACTGAAAAGAACGTACAGAGTGGAATTCACCTGGAAAAACCGAACGGACCTTTTCCTGCACCGTCAAAGGCTCCGCACAGGTGGAAACAACCCCAGACAGTGGTAGGAGATTATTGTAGTTCTCTGCACTGAAAGTAAATGAAGTAGCTTAAGGCAACTGAATTTTGTGCAGCTATTTTAATATCACAACGTTTTAACTCAAAGAATTTTAAAATTCTGGAGTTAAGATCTGACACAGCTGGGGATGAGCAGGGAACTGGTGCATCCCATGGAGCAATACTGAAGCACTTCAAGCTTTCCTTTACATCAGCACAAGCAGAGGTTTGATTCTCTGACACTTAACTTAAGGCTAAAAGTCATCACAGAATTTTTTGACAAGAGAAAAGCCCCTGTGAAATACCTCTGTGCTTACCAAAAAAAAAAAAATTCACCAATCAGGCCACCAAAGGGATTTACTGTTAAATCTGGGAAAAAATATTGACAGTAAAATTAAACTTACAGAAACCTATTTGAGGAACTTCTTTTTCTAGCAGTCATTGTCACCAGCTCAAAGTGATTCATATAGACTTGGGCACGCTCACAATCCTGATCCTTAGCAGAGGCTTGTCTGGCACAAGGAGGATAACCACCTATGTTCTGGGACAAATAGATATTCAAGGCTTGGGGACCAAAAATAAGTGATCATAAGTGTCTCAAAAATCATAGTTAACAGTAGTCTTGACTGAAGACAATTCATATCCTGCCACTTTAAAATAAACAGCTCCCCTTCCTTATTTTAATACGCTGATAGTCCAAAATGGTCAAACTGTCATAGCATTGAGGAAATTCCTATTCCTAAGCAAAAAACCCCCAAGTCTTCCCGGTGCAAAGCACATTTCAATTTAAACTCACCTTTCCCTCTGGACCTGCCAAGGCTCTTACGTAACGACTCCGGCATTGCCTTGGGGAGCGATAGATGTGGTTGGAGGAGTTAACCACGTCGCTGACAAAGTCCCAGTTTGCTGCCCGTGCTGGTGACACAACAGCCAGCTTTAGAGGAGCTGTCCGTGACTGTTCCATGGCCTGAGGGGCAGAGGGAAATCCCATCTGTGAAATGTTTCAATTAAACACTCTTCCTGTGTGCACAAACACGTTTAATCCTGCACGAAGCAAGGCCTACAGATGCTGGACTAAACTTGCAAGTAAAAACTTTCTGAAGTCAACAAAAACTTAAAGGACCGTCTTACTTTTAGCAGTGCCATGTCTTCAGCAATCAGCCACGCAGGGCCATCCTGCCCAGTGTCTGCAGCTGAGCTGGGGAGAGCTGACAAAGGCCTTGCAAAATACGTTTTCTGTGGTACCCCGGGCAGGGCCTTCTGAGCTTGGCTCTTCTGCCGTGTTTTCATTATTCTTGGAGTCACTCGGTCAAACAGCGAAGGTGGAGGAACAACCGTCCTCCCGTGGCAACGCTTCTTTCTCTCCCCTGGGGCTAATTGGCAAAAGTTATTACCTCCAGTGAGAAAGCAACTTCGTGCACCAAGATCATGACAGAAAACCGACAGCTGCGAATCACAAAGAGATTCTTGCAGAAGGGTTTTCATAGCACTTCACACAAAAATGTGACCACACATTACACCCTCCTGTGTAATTTTGAGTCCAAACTTACAGGACGGCTCTGATCTCTGCCGCTTCCACGCCCTTCTGACAAACACAGGGGGCAGCTCAGACTCTGGAATCAGGGTGCTGCTGTACATCAGGCACAGGACAGAGTCAGTGTAGACATCATCATGATTCTCAGGTACAAAAGGGGGAGTCCAAAGCTTAAAGACAAACCAAAAAA